TGGTTGAGACGTTACGCGTTGTAGTATCAACGTCGACACGCTGGTGGGGAGGTGGCCACTCGCTTGGGGTGGCCACCCGCTTATGAACTACGTTAGTGTATAACTAACTATTCTAAATTTTAGTACACTATAGGTTACTGCCCGAGATGAGGAATAAAATGTTGCCACATAGTGGTTTTATAGCAGCTTAATGGCAGGGAACGCATAGCCGCAAAGTCTTCCACAAATATATAGAGTCGCGCTAAGAGATGCGTAAAACAAAGGAGCTGCAGCAGTATAGCTGTAAGAAGAGGAAGAGAAAGCCGAGGATTCTGACTAGTGGTATTGTTTCTTATCCAGTCCCAAATCGTGCGAGGCCTTGGCCGTAATCCTTCACTCGTCCGAGATCTAACTTTGCGCCTACTAAAGGGGATCATGCTGGGGCTCTGATCTGTTTCCGCAACATCTAGATCCTTTCTGGCCGCTATGCTATACCCGAGGTAGGGCAAGATCCTAAATGTCATTTCTGTCACAACAAAACAACCAACTAGAGTTCCAAGAGCAGTTAAAGACGCTACTCTCCAGAGTATTTGTTCCCTTTGTGATGGTAGGCTTAAGTGCCAACCTGCAATGAATATGGCACAAAACCCAAAGTAGTAAATAGCACCTAGGCTAAAAAACCAAGTCGGAGTCTCGGCGCTACTGAAGTTGGAAAATCGATCAATTGGGCGTACGCGAGTTCCAGCAGGTATACCAAGTCTTCGAATTGCAGCTCTGAAATGAGCCCAATAAATCATCCAGAACCATTCCCTGCGATCGAGGAAGTCCAATGGAGTGTGACCATACGGTTCGCGTGCAGCCTCACCCCCAGTCAATAGTATTTCTGTCATGCTTGCATTGGTGGTGAGTATTTCGGATACGCTCACATCAGCTGGTTTATGCCACCAAAAGAACATGGTCGGCAAGCTTGCGTATACGAATGCCACAGTAGTCAATTCGAGAGCTGTTAGACTAAGGTTTTGAGCAATTCGTGTGAAAAAATTGGCTAGAAACCAGACGGTCTGGATAACCATCAGAAATCGGGTCAAATTATCGACTTTGTTCCGATCCAAGATCCGCCCTGTCATAGCCGGAGGAATTGCGACGTATTCGTGTTGAATTAACCAGAGGAGTTGTTTTGCGGATATAGGAAAGGGAACCCAATCGCGTGTTTGTAAAACAAAGCCGCCCATTTCTGCAAAAAAGGCATGCTGAGGCGACCATTCACCGATGTTAGCGGCCTTGAAGTCCTTCACAGATTGTCTCGCAGCGAAGTATTGGCCACTGGCGGCCACCGTGACGACCTCTGGTGTGAACAGAGTCAGAATGAAGATCATTGCTTTACGTCGTAATTTTGTCCCATTCGTGTCATGATGACCTGGTACGTTGAGGCAGAGCATCGACCAGCAGCACAGGAAGATAGTGCTCATGCAGGCCCAGAGGATATCCATGGTCCCTCTTTCGCGAGGCGATGGAGTCCAGCCTCGCCGGAGCTCTTGCTCTCCATTAGCCATTTGCAAGCTCGACGTGTTCGCAGACCCGACCTTCGACAAAGGCTGCGAAGTCACATAGGCGCATAGACTCAACGTTAGGAAGGCCAGTTGAGAAAGCATAGTGAAGTGGTGGTGTGATGGACGGCTATAGATTGGTAAGTGATACTGATGAAGTCTTTATGGACAGGGACCCCGTATTAGTATAAGGGATGATCAACTTACGCGCGAGAGATAAGGATTTTGGTGAACCTGATACTTCTGCATAAGTTGCATGAACTCGAAAACATACTCCCAAATATAAGTTTGCCTTATAAGAAGATTGCTAAGACATCTTGACATAACGTACACAAGCATGTAGACGCGGACCCCATCTGAGCCAATTGAAAAGCCCCGGGTAAATCTATTACTACCCCATCCCAAGAGCCTTTCTCGTAATTTAGGGGAATGTTACATGCATAGTAGGGTCAGTGCTCTGCCAGATGCTGGATCCTGGCGCTAAGGTGGCCAACATGAAAGCAGAGTTGCCGTGGGGCAGATACGAGTGTGGCGCTGCCGAGCTGTTATTGTGGCCCTTGCACTGCATGCGGATGATGTTCTGCTCCACAGTCTCAAATGCGAGAGCCGAATGCAGCCGCATCGTTGCCTAATCATACATCAGCGTGTCCGCATCGAACCTTCATGGAGAGCGGTGATAGCTGACCCTCTGAGCAGAGCAGGCTTTGTAGCCGGTCTAGTCAGCCTCGCTATTCAGCTATCGCAACTAAGCCTCCAGTACATCTCCAGCGTAACAGGATCTTCCAAAGGATCATCCAGGAATCGTCAAACCTCACCTCAGTTCTTTCAAAGGTTGAAAAGAGAGAAAAGGGTCCTAAATTTTGTATTCAATTTTTTATTCTTCACTACGCGTTAACGTACCTCACGGCTTGGCCGGACACACGGCTTGGCCGGACACTTTTGCCAAGCCCCCACCAAAACTACTACTACCTACAAATGTCGCAA